GTGCTTTTAAAACTTTTAGCAAGATATTTGATAACACACAGTTTGCCAATTCCTCCTCTCTGATTGCAATTATAAAGTATTGTGTTACGTCTTTAGAATTCTTTGTTGAAAATAGTAGTAGCTTTCCTGAAATAAGTATTACAGTATTGAATGCCTTTCATACTACGCATTTCCCAAAGCCTTTGAAGTGGTATTGCAAATAAGAATTATACAAAGGAAAAAATATGTTTCTGCAAATATATCCACCTAGTTTCCATTTTTGTATGTGTGTATATGCCACATATATGCTGTCAATATAACCTACAAAACTTAAGCATAATTTATTCTCGAATGGCATATTTATATGATAAACTGTCATACATTGTTTATATTTCATTTCACATTATGTTAGCAAGTACATATTTACCCGTATAAGCACCAGGAGACATTCCTGGGGATACATTACAACTAATATTACAACTCATCTTCACATCCTTATTATCCACCTTTTGTTGTTAAATCATGTTCTTCGGTTTCCCTTGGCAGTCGCCACTTAATCCACAAGGCACAGAAACCAGTATTACTTCAAGAGCTGCAGGTGGGATTTCTTAGGATTTGTCTTTGTTTTGGGTGTGAAATAACATTAGGAATTACACAGATGTGTGCATAATAGAATAACAGTGTCAACAAATTTATATCGCATCCAACTAACACGCCTTTGCTGCAGAGCGCAATCTGGTGTTGTCTAGCAATAAGAAGATCTGCGCTTCCAGATAAATATTTTATTTCATCTCCGCAGTCCACAATTCATCGCTTAGTAGGTTAATAAATGACTGATTGTTTTTCTTTTAGTTAAAAAAATATATTTCCTTTCATTGCATAACCATAGTTTCTTTGAAGTTTACTTCTGTAACAATATAACTTCCCGTTAATCTTAGATGTGTTGTGTCTTTTGTATCTGGTACATCATCAGATGCATCAAACACCACGGTGGTCCACTCGTACTTATTTGTAACATTCTACACATACATCTTACACATTTCACCACAAGTCTGACCGGTTGTTATTAAAATCACAAAAAAGAAGCAAACCTCAATAAAAATAGCACCTTGTTGGTTCCATCCTGTTTTGTTTTTTTCTCTCTTTCTAATATTCCAGAAATGTGCGATTCTATTAACTTTTGCTCAACTATTTTTCAAAATTATTAGACATAGTTAAACGTCTGAAATGGAATCTAAGTGAAATTGAATACTAATATAATTTTTAATTATTTTTATCGTGCTTACATTTCACTATTTCCTTGTCATTTCCACTCTCATAATAAAGTCATACATAAAACAATTGAACTGTTCACAGTGCCTGTCAGCACATTTAGTTTTTGATTTACTGCAACAATATGTTTAAAGATTTTGGAGTTGTTAGAAATCCTATTGATCTGTTTTCCTTAGCCTAATACTTTTCGAATACGAATATCTCGTTAGAAGAGGCATATTTTTCTTGAACAAAAAAAGTCGATTTGACGTAGGAAAACACATGATGATATGATGAACAAAGTTCCTCCTGAAACTGTCATACATTGTTTATATTTCATTTCACATTATGTTAGCAAGTACATATTTACCCGTATAAGCACCAGGAGACATTCCCGGAGATATATTCACCAATTTCTTTAGCAGAGTTCTAAGCATATTTTTGGTTTTAAACTATGAGATATCATATTTTAAGAATACTTAAAACACGTTCTTAACATTTCCATAAGTCTCAGAAAACTCATAAGACATGCAAACCTCAGTTTTACTACATTGCTCTAACGGTTTATATATATATTTTGGCAAGTTCATTTGGAATATTTGCTAATAAATTCTAGTCCACTTAATGTTAATAAGAGCATTATAGTTCTTAGAGTACATGTTTTATAACTAATATACGTACCATGTAACTATTGATAAACGTAAATTCACAAATAATGTTTCAATTGAATTTATAATTACTAGATAATTTTCTCCTACGTACAGTACTTATCGTATCTCGAGTACATTGAAAACACAAACTCATAACTTATAGTGCTGACTACTAACTGACTTTTCCAAAAATCAATCAAACACCTTCTCTACCCTTTCTTTTACTTCAAATCGTTTCATACGTTTTAAAGAAAATCCTAAACATTAACCCACGAGCTCGTCACGTGGTGTTAACATTCCTTCTCACCAAAAATAACACAAACGTATAAACTAAAAAATCAAAAACAAAAAATACAGCTTCCAATAGTAATGTATATTTTGGTTAGATAATTTTTTTTTCATATCAGTGTATATTTTGTCGAACAAAAAATTAAAAGAAGTAATGTCAAAATTACATTATAGTTCTGATGGATGCTAAGAAAAATAAGTATATGAGCATGTAGAACAACACAAATAAATTTTGGATTGTCTTATTTAATACATTTTTAAGCAATGTGAAAAAACTAAAATCGAGAACCAATACACTTTCAAATGAATATATTCTATTATACATTATGAACACATTTTACTACAACATGAAAAAAAAACACCCACAGTCCAGTGAGATTTTCATAACTTAATTAATCCGGTATTTATCTAGCATTATTCAAATATCACGAAAAAATATCAAAATCTAAAGAAACTAGCATATGTAAAATGTTTCTAAAACTATGCTGGGTTAATTCTTCGTTATTTTAATGACCTGAAAAAATTTCCACGATTTGTAATAACTTCGTTTGTATCAAGTTTTAGTTATGTATCATTTCCTTAAAATGTGCTAAAGTGTGAACTGTGTTCCTCTTCTGTCAATTCGTGTTATAAAACCGTCCAACTTTTCTTAGCGCAAGATCATATAAATCAATAATGTATCTTTAAAAGTACGTGATCAGGAATAGGACTAAAAGATAATAACAGATAATCGCCATTTCTAAATGGTAAAATATTATTTTTTCTTCTCAAGGATGTTTCAGAATTTTTAGTCATTTAGCAAAGAAAGCTCCTAAGAAACTATGTGCTCCTGTTTTATCATAGAGTCGGTAGACTCTATATGTAGGGATGGCCAAGGTACTCAATAGGCATAATACAAATATGCACGATAAAAAATCAACAATGACAGAGAGTTTTACTTTAAAAGATGATTGTCATTCAATTTCACTTGTTTCTCTACCCAACTAACCCCAAAACAAGGCAAGAAACCATCGCTAAGATACCAAACGAGAAAGTGACCAACCTACCAAATTGTTCATCTTTCTTCTTCTAGTTTGAGTCGAGATAACTCTACAACTACTTTATCACTAACGTCTGTTTAAACCTAAATCGACTATGTGTTTCTGGGCAGTGTACGACGTCATCACTTGATCGTAATAACTAGTAGTAAGTTAACAAAAATAATAATTCTAGTGTTAGCGATGTTATCATTATCTCTTGAAGCCAGCTTTTTTACAGACATCTGGTGTTCCTTCAAAAAGCTTAAGTACAAGGGGAAACAGAAATTACTGGCCAATAACAGATGAACATTAGATAATTGTTACATATAGATACACATTGCTTTGTACACTATACAATCGATATCCTTAGGGAGCGAACCCCTATATTATGTATGAAGTGAAGGAGTAATAAAAAATCAATACACATAATATTAAATTTTATTACAAACATTCATAGAATACACTAACTTTCAGTCACGGGAAAACCTCACAACGTAAGTAATAAAAAACATTTTGTATAGGTAAAATGATGTAGGTATGGCAGTGCCATAAAGAATGCAAACAAGAATATAGGGATGATACAGCTATACATAGGTCATCCCTTTATGACTTTCAATATTAAAATTTAACGTTACCCACTAAAATTCATATTTGACTTTAAAATTACTACAGTTGGAAGTTACATATTCCTGACTGTTTGTATGCAGTTTGTTTATCATAATATCATGGTCATGTCAGGGTAGGCATCAATGTATTGTAACTAAGAGCCTAAGAGTTACGTACAAGGAAAACCAACTTGAGTCAAAACATGTCTTGATTATTACAGACTCTCGCTACGAGGTCGATCGAATAGACCGACCTCGTAACCATTTTGTACTCGTGCATTTTACGGTGCAACGTTAAATTTTAATATTGAAAGACATGTAGGGATGATCTATGTATAGCTATATCACCCCTATACATTGTTTGCATTCTTATTGGCACTGACATCTCTACATCATTTTATATTTACAAAATATTTCTTATTACTTGTGTTACTTAGTGTGTGTAAGACAAAAATTTTCCCTACGAATAGAGGTCAATGAAGTGTGCCACTTAAGATAATTGTTAAGAGTTAAAGTTCGACCAAAGCTAACAAAATAGGTTGAAATCTTCTATATTTAGCTGAAGTGTTTAACAAAAACATTATTATGTTTGGTTTCTCATCACTAGTTTTAACAAATATAGTTGATTTTAGTTACTGTTAAAGAACCTTTAAATGAATAACGTAACATTATAAAGAATTTGAATTTTGTTCACTGATTAGTAGGATTCTAGAACTACATGAGTAGCTTTGACAGAAGAAAAATGTTTTTGTCTTTCAAATTTTAAGTATAAATAAAAGTAAAAAATAAATAAAAATTGCTGCACGTATGAAATAGTAAATATTAAACGTATCAGGCAAACTGTGCACTGTTTTTGATCCCATAAACCATTGTATTTCTTTCAAAATAGAACTGAAAGTTATTTTTGAATTATTTCACAGTATGAATATTTCCTTGCTCTGAAATCTAGATCTACCAAAACAATATGTAAATACTAATAAACTTGTGAATCTGTGTGTTGAAATATGTATGTGTGATTTCAAGCAGCAGTTGTTTGTGCATTTCAACGTATTATATTTTCGCATGTACTCTAGTTTTTATTATAAGGGAAAATATAATTTAGTTTATATCCAAAATTGTTCAGAAATGTCTATTTCTACTGGATAGATGATGCACTTAAAACTATTTTTAAATTTATTTTTGTACTAATCAAAAATAAGAACACTTACATCAACGTAAACACCAGGCAGTTCGTACTTGTGCGCCTTAGGCTCTTCCTTAGGAAGGTAGCGATAAAATTCAACGCTGTTTTTGTACCACTTCACCGAGTACAAGTCCTCACTCTCCAGATCGAATGAACAATTGAGCCATACTGGATTGCCCCATTCTACAGCACTGGGGACATCCAAATCCAAAATGCGGAGTCCGTGTAAATCTAATATGCAGATGAACAATAAATTAGATATTTGCACAGAATGTGTAAAATTAGTTTTTGCATGGAGAAGACATTAAACTCGTACACAGGTAAAAAGGTTAAAATAAATGTGATAAGTTATACAGAAATTAAATTTTCGTTTTACTTTATAATGCTTACAGTGCGTTCAGCTATATTTATTGCATTAGTGACATAAGCACGATTAAGTTAAAATAGAATAAAATATAGGCTTAGATACTTAAAATGTTCTAAAATGATAAATGTGGCAATACACACGATCATACATACATGCTTAAAATATTGTTTTATTTTCCTTTATATTTTATTTAGTAAATTTACTTCGCTTTAGATACTGAAGATGGTGAATCTGTAAAATTCCATAATATTTATCTGCGTCTCCTTTTGTTATAAATAAATAATGATGTTTATTTTAAGTATCGTTACCCTTATTATTGTAAACCTATTAATAATTAAATTTCGCAATTTTTTAAAATGTATTCATATTTGTGTTGTGAAGTGCATAAAATAAACACGCGTAAGCACATGCACTTTATATAGCATATTTATATGTTTCAGATATAGTATATCCAGCTCTAACTACTTTCTAATGGCAGAAATAAAATAAGAAAAGTAGATTCATGATATTGGAAAAACACGTAGGTTCAAGAAGTCTTGATAGAATTGAATAAAACCCCTATAACCCGAGCGCTTTCAAAAGGTGGACCTTTCTTCTTCAGGGGAAAACTGGGAATGTAGACCCATTTCTCAATACAAATAAGTGAGTGTAATCCGTCAAACATATGTAAGCTATAATATACGTCTATATGAATTTGCATAAACAGTTTATAGAATTGCATGTATCATCATATGTCTAATCTTGTCTTTTATCTAAAACTCACAAATCATTGTCAAATCTAGCAGACAAACACAAAATAATACTTTCAAAGCACCACATGGTATAATTTCATATGAAAACATATAATATTACAACTCATCTTCACATCATTATTATCCACCTCTTGTTGTTAAATCATGTTCTTCGGTTTCCCATGGCAGTCGCCACTTAATCCACAAGGCACAGAAACCAGTATTACTTCAGGAGCTGCAGGTGGGATTTACCAGTCCACTTACAGACGCAGATTTTATTCGAAGGGTTCGCTGAACCTTCATAGACAATTATTGCTTCATATGATTTATCCTATATTAATTTAGATTTTAACTTTGCATGTATGTATGTCCAGATGATCCCTCGCACTGTTTACCTAGCAGGATCAAACTTGGCATGATTTTGGTGTGGTCTGGGGGAATATCTTTATCTATATGGTGTATCTGGAAGTACCAAGGAGGGAGTTAGTGTGTCTGATTTTGAGAACATGATAAATTGGTAATAGTTGAAGGAGACGCGTGTAGATTTCACTTATTGTGGATAGAAGACAGAAGGAAAGATTGTATATTGTGTTCAAGACTAAGTAAGGTTATTTATATAATTTATAAATTACAACCTTCACTGGGAAACGCTTATGGAGCGTCCCAGAACCACTAATCGGAACGGGAGGGAAACACCCAACTCCCTTCCTCACCCGCGTCGCTCAGATTCTCTGTATATGTTAAAACTAATCTGTCGAACTTTCGTGGTAAATTTATGGATTCACCAATACAATCAATTGTAAAAATTCCATGTATAACATTTGAACAGTGTCTATATGGGTAAGTTTTCAAAATACCAAAAAAGAATTGACAGTACAGGATTGGCCAGTTTTGTGATAGTATCTCAAGACGGGTATTAAGTTCAAGGGATTTTAATGTTTAGTGAGGAATCTACTGAACTGAATAATTGATTCAAAAATACAATAATATCAACTATTTGATAGGCAAGTTCTGATTTTAATGATTACAGCGTTCCGATCCCTAGTATCGATGATGATCCGATATTACAGATCTAAATGTAATAATTAAAATCAGAGCTTGTCTACTGTAAACATTTTTTACTGTATTTTTGAATTAATAAATAGGCGTCAGTGTTATTAAAGCAACTAACACCAGCAATCCTTACAGTGCTGGTCACTTTGAACAAACGAAGAAGTTTCTGTGACACACTGCGTGTCAAAAAGCGATTTAGAAAGAAAAGAAGCAAACGACTGAAGAGTCACTTCATTCATGGCTAGGCTTAACTAATTAACGCACCAAAGGAATTTAAACTTTGCGTAAGACAGTTATTGAAACAAAATTAATGTGGTGTTGGAACAATGCCAACGCGAATGATCAAGTTATCAAAACCAGTCTTCTAGCAATTTCCAGTAGCCGAGATTTCAGGGAAGAAATAATGAAAGATCCAATAACCCCAAATAAAATACAACAATTTACAATAATACCGATTTTAAGAAAATAGCTTGAGATTTTTTTTTTAAATTAATAAACACGGATCGATGAAATAAATATACTTTTGTAATAACAAACAAGAAAATGAGAAGAGTTTGTTTGTTTTTAATTATGCACAAAGCTACACAAGGGCTATCTGTGCTCTGCCCACCACGGGTATCGAAACCCGGTTTCTAGCGTTGTAAGTCCGCAGACATACCGCTGTGTCACTAGGGGGCAAATGAGAAAAGAGAAATCGAAAAGATAATTTGGTAAATAAAAACGTTAATTGTTGTTCATAATTTCAAAGTAATTCTTTGAACCATAACTGATAATATGGTTGAATATTGATGGAATCAGTATTCTTGAAAGCTGTTGTGTTATACAACGGAATCGTTGAAATTGCCCC